GATGAAAAGAAGACGACAAAGTCTGTTGGTTCCAGCAACTTGGGCAACAGCAAGGCAGCCAACACCTTGGGGCCAAAAGCCATGCGGATGTTCTGCTGTGTCTGCTCAGCCAACATCTTATCAGCCAACACCCCAGCAGCGTGAACGATGCCGTTGACATCTTGGGAGTCTTTGCATTTTGCAGCTGTGGCTTTCAAATCAGCGGCTTTGGACACATCACATTTGAGCCATCTCACACGTTCATCAGAAAATTTAGGCTCGCTTCGGGACAAGATTGTCACATGTCCGGCTCCTCGACCCAAAAGCCAGTGCACACAGCTTTCACCAAGAGCGCCGCTGCCGCCAGTGACTACATATCGGCCTCCCTTGCGAATAGCATCTCTTGCGACAGAGCCATCTGGAACCCACTTCTGCAGCCGCGGTGCTTCCAGGACACCATCCACTACACGACAAATAGGATCTTCAGAGATCAGTGGCAGTTTGGTCTCTGCCAGGATGGACCTCACCGATTCCCATGTAGTGGCATTGACATGGACCACCTGACCGACGTTCAGACATAAACAATCACGAACACGGAGTCCGTCCAATTTGCACAAGCACCCTTCCATCTGCATGATTCTACAACATTCCTGAAACTACATAGTTGCACATGTCTAGAGTCTAGATGATATGACAGTTACGCCACGCCTGCACATCCAATGGCTGCTCGCACAAGGCGCTGCGAAGCATGCTGGACACTGCACTGAAGCAAGCCTCTGCGAAGGCACCGTTGCCAGCAACCACAACAAACCAAGTTTCCTTGTTTGCTGCCGCTTGCTGCAAGACACGCAGCATCTCGATAGCTCGAAGCGTCAAGTCCTCTATCTCCTCTTCTTCTGCCTTTGCCTTCCAACAGGGAAGTGCCAAGACATGGCATCCATCGTGATTGGTCATTTTGACAACGTCCTCTCCAATCTCTCCGCGCGAAATGATGAAGCTCTTCGCGCCATAGCTCAGTCGCTGCCAACCGAGTTGGTACAAATCCTGAGGTTGTCTGTGCACACTCAGACTTCTGGCTGCCAAACCGCGGCAAGAGGCCACAACCTTGCCCGTGCTTGTAACCAGAATCGCATCGCCTTTCATCAATCCCTTCTGGACATCAGTCAATCGAACCCATGCCCTCAATCTGGGCGCTTTGCCTTCAATGGGCACCTTTGAAAGACAACAGCTTTCCAAGCTGAATGGCACGCACATCCCAGCGCGATCTTGACCAAGCGCACCAAGCAATTGGAACGCCCCGTCAAGCAAGCTCCAGTGCGGAAATTGCAGCGCGTGCTCCCACGCCTCGACATCTGCAGGCAAGGCCAGCTCGGCCACCGCAATTTTGTCATTGCGACGAGCATCCTGGAGTACACGAAAGCGTGGGCCCATCCGAACACCTTGTGATTCCAAGGAACGGTAGAAGTCTTCCAAGTTCACTTTGGCAAAGCTCAGGTCTTCTTTGCTGGGCAAGTCAAAAGGTGCCTTCGGCAACTCACGGCTGTTTACCACAGACGCTGCTTCAACAACGTCATGGCTCCCACAAAGGACAACAGCTCCAGCATCACGTAGGTTCACCTGAAGTTTTGCATCAGAAATCTTTGCTGGTGCCTTGAAGACCACACTCTTCATCTCTATCGTCTCTGCCGTTCCTCCTTGCACTGCCCTGGCACTGGCAAGCATTGCCAGCAGACTTGAAGCCGGCAGCAGGCGGTCTCCTAGTGGCAGAGTAAGCCCACACGCCCCTAACCCAGAAAGCTAATTTTTCGATTTATATATATATATATAGGCACCTGAACCCAGAATCCAAAAAAACACGCAACAGCTTGCGACATGACTTGCAAACTCATGTATATATACGCGATAACCCTCCTGCAACTTCATGGTCGCTGAAAAGGTGGCAGATGTCGTCAAGCTGCACAGCAAAATCTGACTCTCCATCTCTTCTGAGGAGTGGATTGAGCAACCGCCGCCAAGGTAGGAAAGCTTCGGTTTTGCTACGCTTGCCCTTGGCCCAATTGACTGTGCTGGAGCCTGTGGCGCCAGGCATCAAAAGCGCTTGGGCGTTGCTGCCACCAAAACCAAAAGATGACACTGCCCCGGACAAGGTTGCCGTGCTTTGTCTGAGATCGGCACAGGCTTCGCTCACAATAATGTCGCTGGAGATGTGTTGGTTGAGACACTTCAGATGCAGATTCGGAGGCCCAGCTTTGTTGCGAAGAGTACAAATCAGCTTGAAGAGACCAGCCAAACCAGCTGATCCTTCCAAGTGACCCATGTTTGATTTCACAGCTCCACAAACAGGCTTGCCCGACTTGCCAAAAACAGCCATGGTGGAAGCTGCTTCAAGAGGATCACCAAGCTTAGTTCCAGTACCGTGAAGCTCCACAACATCGACTGTCTGCAAAGAAGCCAAGGCCAAACTTGTTCGAAAGAGGCGCTCCTGCGCCTTCCCATTTGGAGCGGTGAGGCTGGCACTTCGCCCATCATGATTGTTTGCCACACTAAGAATTTCAGCAACCTTGGCATCTGCACTGGGCTGCAAAATAAGAGCTCCTACACCCTCACCTCTACAATATCCATCAGCGGATGCATCAAGGGTCAGGCAGCGGCCAACTTTGGACAGCGCAGTGGTCTTGCAAGCTGCCACGAACATCCCTTCATCAGCAAAGACATGGGTACCTCCGACTACTGCCATTGAGCATCTTTGAAGCCTGAGTGTGTCTGTGGCTTGGCACAAGGCAACCATGCTCGAGGAGCAGGCCGTGTCAACAGCGACACTCGGACCACGCAGATCAAAAACATAGTTGAGCCTGTTTGCGCATATGGAGGGCGAGGCTCCACCAGCAGAATGTGAGGACACATTTCGCCAGCCCTGCCAAGTCATCCAATCGTGGTTGGCCTGCCCGATCCAAACTCCCACATTGTGATCTCGCCAATCGCCCACACCAACCAAGGCAAGCTGCCCCTGCTCCAAGAGCAATCGTTGTTGTGGATCCATTGCCCGTGCTTCAGCTGCTTTGATTCGAAACTCATGATGCGCAAACCATTCAACACCAGTCACGCAGCCTGCATGGGTGGTGTACACGGGGTTCTCAAAGTCATCAAACGCGCAGTCATAGCCCTCGAGATCCAAACGCGAGGATGGGATTTTGCGCACTGCGTCCACTCCTTCAAACATGTCAAAGCTCCCCCCGAGGCACGGGAAGCGGCAACTCATTGAAGCGATTCTGAAGGTTTCCTGAGTCGCAGGTGTTCTCAAGGGAGGATGAGAGGAGTTCTCGGGCATATGGTGTTCGGTTCTCCATGCAGCAATTTCATGAGCAAGTCGCTCGCCAGCGTCGCCAAACATGAACTCAAAATGATCTGCCTCGGTGCGAACGCTTGAGATCCTCTGGAACACCTGTTGCAGCCGTTGCATCACTTCGTGGTCGCGTTGAAATCCTGCAGATGCTTTTTGTTTCACCTCTGATTCATAGCTCTCCTTGACCTGCGCTACTACATGGAGGCAAGGCAAGGAAACCTCAGGAAGGCCCAGGTTTGCAGAGATTTCTTCATACCACAAGGGATCTCGGCCGAGGGCCACAGCCGCCTTCTGTAAGTTGCGTGGGTCCAAGAGGACGACCGCCTCAGCCTTGGGAGCCCACCCATGATGCAGCAGCTCAAGCGCAACAGTGGCGCCAAAAGATAGCCCGCCTGGTCCGCAGTTGGCGTTGAAGGCGTGTGGCGCCAAAAGAGAATCGGTTCAAAACCCTAGCTTCCGGGCGTTTCAATATGTTTTGATACAAATCCAAAGCTCAATGACAACAAAAACATCGTGTTTTTGGTCCTCTTGCCTAGCATGAGAGGCTCTGTGAGTTCTTCCGTCAGCTTCTGCAAGGCAGGTCCCAAAGCTGTCAAGATCAATTTCATGTCCTTCACCCGCCGTGGAGGCATGGCAGCAAAGACCTTGCCTCTCCAGTGTTTCGCCAGGTCACCGAACGAGCTCTCCACTTTGCCCATGGCGCCTCCGACCAAGAACAAGGCCCTTGTGCCTCTCTGCAGAGACGGAAGGCCCTCGTCTGAACTGATTTGGTTGGCACTTTCAAGCTGAATCCAAGGGCTCGGACAGCCGTCGGAGAGCTTGGCAATGTGTCGCGACAGCTCCACGATCGTGGTGTGTTCAAAGATCAGGGTCTGAGGAAGAGACAAATCGAACTCGTTCTTCAACAAAGTGCTCAGCTCACCCACGCTCAAGGAGGGAATCACCTCTGCAAGTGGCGTGTCGTCTGATACCTGGTTTCCAGCCTCTGCGACGCTACACACAATGGCTCGCACGCGGTCCATAATGTTCTGGTCGGACAGCGTCAGCTGTGTGTTCGTGTTTCTTTCTCTTGCTTTGGCAGCTGGACTTGTACCTTCTGTTGGAGAGCTGGACCGTATGGCGCAAACAGGCCCACGGACCCCGGCGGACAAAAGCTGCTCCAAAACCAGGAGACCTAATCTTCGAGAAAAGGCTCCCATGCCACGCTGCGCAGCCGCACCTAAAGCACCAGATTCCTTCGCCATGCCTACCTGCCACGGACCCCACTGGATGCTTATCACACAAGTCTTCATGGGCAGGCAAGAGCTATATCCATCAAGGGCTGCGTTTGCTGCCGAATAAGGCACCTGACCAGGGTTCCTTTCCACCGCAGCAACCGATGAGAAGAGGACGACAAAGTCTGTTGGTTCCAGCAACTTGGGCAACAGCAAGGCAGCCAACACCTTGGGGCCAAAGGCCTTGCGGATGTTCTGCTCCGTCTGCTCAGCCAACATCTTATCAGCCAACACCCCAGCAGCGTGAATGATGCCGTTGACATCTTGGGAGTCTTTGCATTTTGCAGCTGTGGCTTTCAAATCAGCGGCTTTGGACACATCACATTTGAGCCATCTCACACGTTCATCAGAAAACTCAGGCTCGCTTCGAGACAAGATCGTCACATGTCCAGCTCCTCGACCCAAAAGCCATTGCACACAGCTTTCACCAAGAGCACCGCTGCCGCCAGTGACTACATATCGGCCCCCCGTGCAAATAGCAGCTCTTGTCACAGAGCTGTCCGGAATCCACTTCTGCAGCCGCGGTGCTTCCAGCACACCATCCACTACACGACAAACAGGATCTTCAGAGATCAGTGGCAGTTTCGTCTCTGCCAGGATGGACCTCACCGATTCCCATGTAGTGGCATAGACACGGACCACCTGACAGAGACACGGAGTCCGATTTGCACAAGCTTCGGTCCACATGATTCTACAGGACTCTAGAACTGCATAGGCGCACGTGTCTCAAGTCTAGATGACATGACAGTTATATGCCACGCCTGCACATCCAATGGCTGCTCGCCCAAGGCACTGCGAAGCATGCTGGACACTGCGGTGAAGCAAGCCTCAGCAAAGGCCCCATCGCCAGCAACCACCACAAACCAAGTTTCCTTGTTTGCTGCCGCTTGCTGCAAGATACGCAGCATCTCGATAGCTCGAAGCATCAAGTCCTCTATCTCCTCTTCTTCTGCCTTTGTCGTCCAACAGGGAAGTGCCAAGATACGGCGCTCCTCCTCACTGCTTTGATCACGCAACATGCCAGTGAGTAGTAAGGGTTACTTACTAACGCAAGATACAAATGGTTTCATAAAAGATTAAAATGAGTCGAATCAAACCACACAGGACTCTATTGCGAAACCCTTTGTTGAGGTTCCGACCTCGTTGTAAGATCTGGTGAGTCCAAGCTCTTCCTATTCTGTGTGTATGTGCTTTGGGGTTCCAATCTCGTAAGCTCCTACCCTCTGTTCATGGTTTGCTTGTTCCAATGCAACGAAATCTTTGTAAGATCTTACGATTCTTACACTCTGTGGATGGTTATATTTGTTCGAACGCTCTGATCTCGTGATACTAACTTAGCCTCTGCAAATGCTTTGCTTGTTCAAATGCTCTGAGGTCGTTGTAAGATCTTAGACGTTGTACGAGTAACTTGTTCAGATGTTCTGATGTCGCTGTAAGATCGTAGAAGTTGTAAATGGTTTGCTTGTTCAAATGCGACCTTGTTGCTTGCTCAAGTGCTCCAATCTCGTTATAAGAGCCTTACACTCCGAAAATGGTTCGCACGCTCAAATGTTCCGATCTCGCTATGAGACCTTCCACTCAGTAAAATATTTGGTGTTCAAACGCTCCGACCTTACACTCTGTAAATGATTTATACTCCAAGCTTGTGAGATCTGGCGCTCTGAAAGCGCTTTTTTTGTTCAACGGTGCGGGTCTCGTTGCAAGATCTTGTGATCTGTAAATATGGTGTGATTGTTCGAATGCTCCAATCTCGTTGTAAGATCTCAGGCTTTGCAAATGGTTTGCTTAACTGCTCCGATCTCGTTGTGAGATCCTTACACTCTGTAAATGGGTGGCTGCTTCAAAGGCTGAGATCTTGTTGTAAGATCTTAGGCTTGGCAAATATATGGTTCAATATAAATATTATGTAGTTTGCTTGGCGCGCCGCAACTTACTCGGGGAGCGCTCAAAAGAATGATTTGCTTGCCGGAAAGGTGCGTAGCGGGTCACAACTGCAAGTCAAACACCGAAACAAAAAATTCTACAAAGGAGGCAAGCAAGCGTCCGGCAGTGTGAGAATCTGCACGCCATCGGCTTGGAAATTGTCCTGAAAGTCCAGCGGTGGCCGCACCCCCTGCAATGTCATCCATTCAGCACGCTGAAGCAAACATTCGCGCGGAAGCGGTGCGGATGGTGCCGGGAAAAATGCCCTGCTGTCAACCAGAGTCTTGGAAACATTGGAAAACATTTCGACTCTCGCGTCGCTTTGCGCCGCTTGCACGAGGGCAAAGGCATTGCTGCCACCAAACCCAAAGGAAGACACGCTAAAGATGCGCTTGCTCTCACCAGCAGCGCAGTTCGTTGAGATGGAAGGGGAGACATAGGGCATGCTCTCTAAAACTGGCTTTGCGTCTTTTGCAAGCCGAACCTCTGGGTTGAGCTGGCGCAAATGCAGATTTGGAGTTGCAATGTGCCCGACTTGCCCACACAGCGCAACTTGTTTCAGCAGACCTGCTATGCCTGCAGAGCCCTCCAAATGCCCAACGTTGGTCTTCAAAGCCTGCAGAACGATGGACTCACCAAATCGTGCGCGGATCGCTTCCAACTCTAGAGGATCTCCCAACGGCGTCCCAGTACCATGAAGTTCATGGACAAGAACGTGGCATCCTTTCACTTTAGCAGCACCCAAGCCTTTGTCTATCAAAGCCTTTTGCGCTTCACAACGAGGCTTCGTCAAACCAGCACTGGCGCCATTCTGATTGGAGCTTGTGCCCAGTAGGCATGGTTTTGGCAGCGGTCGTCGCGACAGGAAAAGAGCTGCCACTCCTTCTCCACGAACGAAGCCATCGGCACTTTCATCAAAGGTGGCACAGCGGCCGGACGGCGACAACATTCGAACCTTGCACGCATGAAGGTACATGTCTGGCGTGAGCAGAACGTGAACTCCCAACACCAAGGCTTCTCCTCCTCTTTGCCGCGCCACATCAACTGCAACGAGGCTTGCTGAACACGCTGTGTCTACAACAAGGCTCGGGCCCCTTAGATCATGGACAAAACTGATTCGGTTGGCTGTGATGGAGGGCGCGACCCCAGTGCTTCCATATGGAGCTGGGGCTTCAGTAGCGACCATGCGGTCGTAGTTCATCTGACCAACATAGACTCCGATATCAGAGGACTGTCGATCACTGCCTGCTTTCCATAGGGCATGGGCGCCTGCTTCCAAAGCCAGCCGCTGCTGCGGATCCATGGACGAAGCTTCATCCCAGGCAATGTTGAAGAACTTGTGATCAAAGCGTTCCACTGCAGACACAAAGGCTCCATGTTTCGCATAAGTCCCCATCGCCGGCTCATCTGCTCCATATTCCTCCACGTCAAAGCGGGTCAACGGAATGCGTGCGACACAATTGACACCGTTCGCAAGCTGATCCAGTCTGCATGGCAGGCGAGATGCAACCGCGCTGACAGCTAGAGGCTCAGAGGACCCTGGCTGAGTTAGCTCTTCAGTCTCTCTCGAGCTCAAGCTGGGAGCATCGGTGGACTCTCCAAAAAAAATGTTTCGCCATCTGTGCAATGGTTGGATGGTCAAAAACCGCATGCGATGGTATCTGCACTTTCAACTTGGTTCTAACCTTGCGTTGGAAGATCAGCATTCGGATTGAATTCATTCCGTGTTCAACCAAGTTGTCGCGCAGTCTCAGATCAACTTTCAACACATTCTTCGCCACTTCCAGAAGTATGTCCTCTGAGGCAGTAGGAATGCCAGGCTTCAGAATCCGCGAGGTGGAATGACCTGGCAGATCCTTGGCACCGTTGATGCGAAGCAGTTTCTCTCTCAGAACCTTACCATTCCCACTCATCGGAATCTCTGCTATGAAGGTCCAAGTGGTCGGCCACATGTGCCTGACACCCACGAGCCACTCAAGAGCCTAGCCTCCTAGCCACGCCCCAAACATGCATAAACATGCAAAAGGGCATCCAAGACATTCAATGCACTTCCAAAGGCGGAAGACACACAAAGTCCAGAAAAAGTCCCACAATCCAGCAAAAACGTACAGCCAAACAGCTTCCCGTGAGAAGTGTTCTATAGGATTCTAGGGTGGCACATGTGGCGGAAGCAACCAGATTCATGTTCGACCCTTCCATGCCTGGGTAAAGAATCTTCAACATACTGTTTGACCACATCTCTTGTGGTCTGCTTCTGCTCATCTGCCTGCTTCAAGTATAGAAAGCCTCTCAGCTCTACACCTAAGCCCTCTCTCTTGGCGGCCACAAAGGCACGCTCTCCATTCTCGCTCAACTTCTCCTCTGCTTTCCGCTCAATCTCCACCAGCTCCACGCGAAAGCCATTCACCTTCACTTGGTCGTCCTTCCGGCCCAAAATCCGGATCTCTCTGTTCGGAAGGTACTGGCCCTCGTCCCCCGTGCGGTAGAGTCGCCCCAAGGCACGATGGTCCTGAAACCTGGTTCGAAGCGGTCAACGCGCCAAGCGGTCGCCCCGAATCGTCCAAAAAGCGAAAAGACGTCCAAAAAGCGAAAAGACACCTGTTTGTTGGGGGCGCTCAAATCAACTCTGAGCAGCGAATTGGCCGTCTTCTCCTTGTCATTCAGATACTCCTTTGCAAGGCCCTGACCTCCAATGTAAATCTCCCCCACTACGTGTGGTGGGCAAACGCGCATGTGCCTGTCCAAAACGTATATACTTTGGTTCTCAAGCGCCTTACCATAAGGCACCAGCGGCAAATCAGGCGAGTCTTCTCGAAACTCATGGAAATTGCTCCAAATAGAGGCTTCTGTCGCCCCGCCAAGGGCAATGAAGCGTGTCTGAGGGAAGCACTGCAGCACCTCGGGGATCGGGCAATTTCCAGCGGTGAACCTGCAATGACTACAGTCTACAGTAAACTGAAACATGAACTTGGAAAACGACATGACATCTATGATACTGATGTCTTCTAACGCGCAAACATGTGCAGACATTCATCGTCTCGCAGGCCGCTTCGGCCTTCCGTGCGAAGCTCGTGTGGATGCTGTCGCCGCTGATCAATGCAACCCGGATGGGAAGGTAGTCCTTCTCATTCCACTCGTGCAGGAGCAGCCGAAAGCGTTGCGGCACAGAGTTCCAAATCGTCACATGTTGTTCCTGCACGATCTTCCGGAGGTCTCTATAATTGCTCAGTTGATCTGGCCAGCACATCACCAGACTTGCCCCTGCTGCCAATGTACCAAAAATGTCATAGACTGACAAGTCGAAGTTTAGATTCGATAAAGCCAGAACCTCGAAAGGAACATGCGCAAAACCATCCCTTCATCACACGAGTTGATGGACCTTTCCGGGCAAACAAAGAGCCCCGCTTCTTTAGCTTCTTTGCGACACAACCAGAGGTTTAGATAGAGTCAACTGGTTCCTGTTAGAGTCAAGAAGCGTTGTCGTCCTTGCTCATATGCACAAGAGTGTTGATACTGATGCAGGTGTTTGCAGCAGACTCGTGAGAAATCACCACGCCCTTCGGCGCCCCTGTGGAACCGGAAGTGAAGATGATGTACGCTGCGTCCGAGGGCGTCGGTTGTTGAAAGCCTTCCAAGCCTTCCTCTTCTCTCTCAAGCAAACTTTTCGTGACCTGTAAGCAGCTGACCTCTTTGCTTTCCAACTCACTCTGAAGCCGGTCATTCGAGATCAGCACCACGGAGCAACGGGCTTGATCCAAGACCTGGTCCCTGCGAGGATCACTGATTTCCAAGGGCACATAGGCGCAAGCAGCTTTGAGCACTGCCAAACATGCCACAACCTGCTCCCAGCCTTTGGCCATGAGAATTGCCACTCGTGAACCAGCCGGGCATGGCTTGCCCAAATCGTTGGCTAAAATGCGTACGGCTTTGCGCAAGTCGCTGTAGGTAAGCTTCAGCTCTGGGCAAATCAATGCAATAGCTGAACCTGCACCGACCTAGGGCCGCAGGGCAGCAGTCGGCCGCAGTCCGGAAGTTGGAAGGTGACAACCAATGTGACAATGACTAAATTGTGGCATTCAATGCCAAAATGAAAAAGAATGCCAGGAGAAGAGGCTGGAAACGGGAATTGACAAAGAAACATTGCGAACAAAACAAATCACGAGGGAAAAGAAGAAATACAGGAGATAGAACTAAATAGACATGCCAAAAAAGGAATTCTGCCCCAACGCCTCAAGCGCAAGTTCATGAAGCAGATGATGGCGTTCGCACTCATTCTTGCATTGATCCGGAGGAGATGGCGCCTTCTCCAAAAGCCCCTGCACAAGCGAAAGCGCGGCAAAAATGCTTGCAGTAGACTTCTCAAATTCTTGAAACACAAGGAAAGCAATGTAACGCCAAGATTGAAACACCAGGCCGCACCTCTTCAAAGGAACTCATCACCTCCTGCACCACATCTTCAGTAAGCCAACGCTCATCGTAGTCAAAGTTCCACCGGAGCTCGCCGCTCGCTTCGTAGACCTGCCAAGCGCAAAACCGGACCCCACCACCCGACGCTCCGATCCTCGCCCAGGTGGTTTTGGGCTGCAACTCATTTTTTGCGCGAAGCTGCAGCGTATGGCTGTCGCCATCGCTGGTTCGACCGTCGACCCATCCAACAATACTGAAAACCTACGAGAAACCAGCGAGGCCATCCCGCCTGCACATCAAGGCGGACCGTGGGAGTCTGAGTTTGTTGGAAGTCTATGATCGGAACCTCTTCACCGATACCAATCGGTTCCAGCACCTCCAATAGCGATGTGAAGACCACTGGCAAAGTTACCTCACAGGGCAAGAGATGCTTTCCGATTGCATACCAACTACAACAAGTTCTGCTGTCGTAGGTTCTGCTTGCACATCGTAATTTGGCAATTCCTGCGTATTGCTGCAAGAATGGCTTCCGATTTGGGTTTCCGCTCGTGCGTTGACTTTCGAGTTCATGGTTTGCAGGTGAAAAAAACCGCCACCTCCTCCTGGCGGACCTGACGCCACAGTCGCATGATCTGCAGTCCAGTGGGCTGGTCCAAATCAATCTGCTGGAAGATCTGTTTCTGAAGGTCATTTGCGCGAGACTCTCGCGACTCTGTCAAATCCTTCAAATCGCTGTGTAGAAGTGCTACATTGGTGAACTCTCCAAGACAATCTTGAAGTTCAGGAGGTCTCCTAGTCACCGTGGCGGTCAAGGTGAAACTGCTGTCAGTACAGCTGCGATCAAGTGCATCCTGGAAGTATGTCAGAAGGAAAGCTGTTGGTTGCACCTTCCATTCACGAGCCTTTGCCTTCAGCCTCTCCCACGCACTCGCGTCCAAGCGTGCTGAGAGTCGGCCGAAGGACTTCGCTTGTCCTGCACCCTGGCGATTGCACCAAGGCAACTGAGGTCCAAACGGAAGGCGTTTCAGCCGAGCCACCCATGTCTCTTTCTTCGACGTCCAACGGCACCTCCGGCTCCATGCAGAAGCCGAAGAACTTGGATTCCAGGCATGGAGCAGTTGATGCGACATCATGCGATGGATCCAACTGGTACTCAGTGTACTCTTTAGCCACCTTTCGCAAGACCAGCATCCAGCTCCTTGCATCCAGGAAGGTCATATCCCCCACCAAATGCAACCGAACCGCTTCGGCTCGGCCCTCCGAGGCGCCCAAGGCCCAGAAGCGATCCTTGGGCAATGGACGATGCCAACGGCTCCTAGCCACGGCGGCATCCTCCATGCAGTCCAACTGAAAGCTGCAGTCAGCTCCGATCTCCTGAAGTCCAAGAATTGCTTCTAATAAACAAGGAGACTGCAAGCTGAACTAAATACAGGCTGAAGCAAACAACTAGACTCTAGAACAACTAGACTAGAACAAAAGAGTTGGGCTTGTGAACAACTGGACTCTAGACTGGAGACTTCAGTCCTGCTTGTCCCCAACGAACCTTGCTCGTAACAAAGGTTCAGATCGCAGCACACAGCGCACTGCGCACTCCAACTTGGCAAGGTCAAGCTGGTGGAAAATCATCTGTTCAGGGTACGCCGGGTACGCGGCATCACTTGCGATCGTTTCTGCAACCCAAAAAAGATTCGTCACCCGCATCTACCAACCTAGATTTCAATAGATCCATGTCAGTCGCGGATCGATCCGAACGCCGTGTGTTCCGCGCTATTCTCGGAAGGGCTTGAAAGAGGCCAAATTGGCGGTATTTCCGAGCGCTTTTCTTGGACCCGCCTCAGTGTAGATCTGACAAGGTCCCAACGTGGCATCTTGTCGACCAATCACGTAGGATTGCTGCATCGGCAACAGTGGAGCTGAGGAAGTTTGGAGATGACCGTTTCGAAGAGGATCACTGAAAATGACTTCGTCACGCCGAAAGGACTGGTAGAGCTCGAGGATGTCATTGAGCGTCCAATCTGAAAGCTCGATGAGTTCGGGGACAGAGCTCGTGTTCGTAGCCTTGCAAAGCCCAGCGCGCACAAGCACCCAGCTGCGGGAACTGGCACACTGACCCAAAGACTCGGAAAGCAATGTCCGCAACTCCTCTTGCGGCTTGTCAAGACACCTGCTCAACCAATCCATGATTCAAAAAGGTCTGGAATTTTGAGCCCAAAAAAATCTTCTGCAATCGCCGAGCCCGTCGCTGCCTGGGTCTTGCGGTCTTGACTACACATGACGACCTGTAGTTCTTGTCGACTCTCGCGCATTTCTTGGCTTTCGTAGCCGTTTTCACGCACGGGCGAACGTCACAAACCTACACTGCCCCAAACACCTTCGGTGTGGGGGGACGCACGTCCGATCGCTTCCGTCGGACGCGAAGCCCATCGACGCTTGGAGAGAAAGAGGAGCGGAAGTGAACGTAGAGGAGCGGGAACCGGCCTCCGTCATTGGTATCTACGCAGCACAAATATCACTGTGACTTGTTCAGCAATGCTCCGAAGACTCTGAACCCAAACAGACGGGAAATCCCATCACACCCTGCGTCGCTGAAAAAAAAGTAGGGCGCTGTGAATCGACCACGCATCGCGAACGCACGCGGAATCGAACACGCATAAGCTGTCCTGCGCGGGCTTTCATTTTTGTGTTGGGACGGAGTGTTGCCAAAGTGGTCAATGATAAAGAATTGCGCAAATCTGCTCGCTCTGCAAAATAGAGAATACACGCATGGTATTCCATTGATCGCAGCGGCTCAAGGTTGTAGTTGTTTATGTGTTTGTTTGCTCCGCCGGCTGTCTACGTATGCAAAATTTGAGTACATACAAGAGTTGGGGAACCATGGCAGGTCGAGCGAATCAAACAGCCATGTGGTACGCTCGACAGAGAAACGCCAAGTTCACGGACTTGCGATGAAGCATTTCTTTACTGTGGACCACATCAGCAAAGGCAGACAGAGTTTTGCAAAACAGCGCAAATCACGGACTGCGCGCATAAAGACATCACATGGTTTTTCGAGTTTGGGGTGAAAGTATTCTGTGCGCCAGCTGCTTGCTGTTTGATGGCAATATACAAAGCTATGAGGAACAATGACCACTGGGGAAGATTGAAACATTGGGTCGGAGAGGGTTCGATTGCATCGGAAGATAAAACAAACACGATGCAAGAAACAACTACGTCTTTTCCAATTATTGAAAGGTGATCAGGTGTGCAAAATGTGCTCACTTGACTGACATGTCTCACTTGCGCTTAAATGAAAATGAGCTTAGAAAATCAGCGGTGGCTTTGGCTTTTGCCCGAACTTCACTCAGTTCCGGTTCCAGCAAACGCTTCCATGGCCTGCGCCTAAAATTTCTCGAGCTTGTAGCGATGCCTGTGCCAGCCAAAGCAGCTCTTGGCGTGGAAGGCAAAAGAGAAAAGCAATTAGGAGCGATCGGACGCTACGAATGCTCCTGGCCTTACGACGAACGTCACGAAGGGCATCGGAGTCCGAACGGAACATCCATGTTGGGCCTCGCGACTCGGGTCCCGAGCGATCGGAATCGGAAGAAATCGCTACCCCGAGCAGCCCCGAGCAACGGACCGCGGAGACACGGCATCGCGGTGGAAACCGCGCAAGGCAGTTTGGGCCAGTGTTCTCTTCGCGTTTGGTCTTTCTGATTCTTGTTTGGTGAAAACCGTGTCTGTGTTGATTCGATGTGCACCAAGCGAGTTCAACTTAGGGCTGGACTGGCCTCTCCCCAGAGCAGCGATTGAAGTGGCAAGCAGTGGCCTTTGTCAATCTTGGACAACTTCTGCCGATGGACGCTGCATGTCTTTCATGTGGTTTCTTTGCACATTGGTTTCTACAGTATGTCACATGTTGATCAGTATGTCACGTCGTTTTCACGCACAAACGGCCCCGAAAGCCCCAGAGACGGCCGATTCCGCCACAGCGGGGGCAAACCAGGTTCCCTTACGCGCTCCCCCTTACTTCGGCCGGGGTCGGCGGATATACATATATTTATGCACAAGATGTACGTGGGCAACTCGTATCAGATTGGCAGTATGCAGATCTCATCCCCACCCCCACCATTGATTTTTTGCCACCCCCCGCACAACCCACGGACTTTACATCACCTATTGGAGGGACGCCTCGCAGCGCGCGTTCCAAGACTCCACCACGCTCGCTCACCCCGCAGCGCGCCCGCAACAAGCAACCAGATCCCCGATCTGGCTCTCCTGCCCCCAAAGCCAGCCGGGCAGTTTTCCTCCCTCCACAGCAGTCCCCACCGACCTCTCAAGCTCCACCCAAACGACCACCACCAACACTCTATCAACCACAATGAGCGTTCCACCCAGCCAACCAACCTGCCACGCCGCCTCCGGGCTGGTGGCCCGCGCCCTACCCCATCACATCAGCCATCCACCTTCCCACAGCCACATGGCACGCCAGCTCCACACGCTTGGCCTACCTACTACCATCCTTCACCGCAGCAACCAGCCTCCACACCACCGCCTGCATACCAGAACACGGCCACCACAGCAACCCCAACTCCACTGAGCGCACCCCACACCGATTCAACAATCCTCTACGATGCAAATGGACGTCCACTACCACTCCACCAGCACAACCATACATTCCAGAGGATGACCCATGGCTCGCGGATAATCACGGCCAGTGATAGCGCATCACCTGGCCAACAGGGCCATTCAGCTCCAGTGGTTTTTTGCTGTTGTCCTTTTTTCAATTATATTTCCACTCACCTTCCTTCATGCCTTTTAGCGGTGGTTTCCTTTCCAATCTTCCAACCATGCATACACAACCCTACATTTTGCAACCGACCACTGACTGCGACTCAGCTTGTCTCACCTCGCACCACGAAAAAACAGAGCGTGACTGCCCCTACTCATTTCACATTCCTTACATGTGGCTTGGTGCTGCGGACTTGCGATTTTGGGCTGACCTCTTTTAGAAGCTGATTTTAAACAAAGAAACTTTCTGGACATGCTTTGTGTTTTCTATGTGCTTTTTCAGCTTGCTCGAACAACAGCCTCAGTGCCCCGACTCGCTTCCTTCGCTTTCGCTTTTGTGCCACGTCTACATCATGGATGCGCAGTGGCAACAATACTATTGGAACCACTACTTGATGCACCAGCAGCAGCAATAGCAACTCGCTGCCGTGCCCTCTCAGCCTGCTGCGAGCCAATCATATACCCCCACGGGCACCTACGGCCCTCTTACACATGCCCTACGCATCCAACAGGCTCACCACACGCAGCCCTACACGCCGTCTCCTCCACCTACGAACTCACAGTCAACACCATCACCACAGCCGGAGTTTCCACCACCTCTCCCCAGCAAGGCACCAGTCACCCCACCAGGAACCTCTTTCAAGCACAGTCCTCAGCATCAGACCCACACTGGAACCCCAGCAGCTCCCCCACCACCTCGCAGTGTTCCCACACCCAAACCTTTCGTCCATGACTCCTGGCACCAAACCGACGTCCATTGGGACTCCAATGCCTTACACGGCCACCAGCTCCACCGCACGATACAACCCACACAATGGTCCCGCAGAGCTGGCGTTGCAGGACTACCCACTTTTGAGGGCTTGCCGTGGCAGCTCGGCTACCATGGCACTGCCGAGTATACTGCCAGGACCCTCAGTCATGGCAAGTACTGCGGACTGATTCCGACTCGCAGCATTGCCGAATCAGTCTTCGTCACCCACCTCCTACAAGAGATACGGGAGAAGCGTTTCGACCTCGACGCCATTGCCCAGGGACAAGAAGTCCCCAACAAAACCACACAGGCTCGTGCCTTCCACGCTCCCCTTATCAACCTACTCACCCAGCAACTCCAAACCCATTCACCAGCAGCTGCCGAAGGCACCGCCCTTCGAGCCCTCAAGGCTACCACAGACGAACTGGCCCGCGCCAAACAAATTCCTGCTTGGTGGTTTCTGGTTAACACGAACTCGTGAATTCTGCTGAGCGTGGTTTCGCCCCAGTGAATAAGTACGAAAAGCCAAAACATGGAATACGATAGGGAACTTCTAAGTCAAAACAAAAACAATTTTAACAAGTAATGTTGACGCTGCCTCATATGTGATATGCGTACTTCTGCTCCTGCGTGTGATGGAAATTGTCTGATGTGTTGAAATTGCTCCATCGAATACAATAGGGCTTTCCTGCAACCTTGCGTTAGCAATTGAATTGCGTTTAGGATTTGTGAGGGACAGGCGACGAATGATAGGAATTTTATCTTTTTGGGCTGACTTGCCTTATTCGCTCCTAAGTGACCCTTTCATGGTTTTTAAACTGCCAGTCAGCCGGTCTTGGAGCGTGGGGACTTGGCGCTCCGCGTTCTTGAGTCGGGTGCCATGCTGGTTTGAGACTATCCCGAGGATGCAGTCAGTTGCACAATGCCCAGGGCTTTCAAGGGATGACGGCTGCGGCATCTTTGACAAAGGTCTGTCGCAGGCACAGATTGCGACGCTCCAGGCAACCCTGGATAGCTTGGAAGTGTTTGAGGACGGTCGCATCCGTTGGCACAGAGACGGAGGAGATGAAGTCAGTAAAGTCAGATACGACAAAGAGCGGGCCAGCCACCCAAGACTGTAATATACCTTTGCGTGAATGATACAAACTACACTGAGGAAGTCAGAATCCTTGTCCCTCCACGTCACCTTGGCCAGCTCGCGGCGCTCTCTGCCCTTGAGGTCCCAAGATGATTGTCATAAGCAACTTTTATTTTGCTTCTTGTGTGTGCGTGGATCAGGTTGCGGAGTTGATAGTGCAAAGGCCCAGAACATGGTGTTTGCAGCCCAGTGACGTTGTTCAGCAGGGCCCGATACTGCTGGAGGCCGTTTCCTCGCTGAGGCCTTTGCCCATGCGTCTTCGCTTGATCGTGCCTGTGCTGCTGCCGTTGCTGTTGCAGCAGGCCTATTTTTCTCATGAGCACTCGCGAAAGGTTTTAAGGCAGATTCCAACATCACATGTCTCTATAACATGTGCTCGCGTCTTGTTGATCAAAACCAAAAATCTGGTACAGGTTCAGGGGACATCTACTGCTCCTTTGACTTTGATGGAAATGTAGATTTGCTTGGCCGTATTCTTGTTGTTTCTTGTCCGAGTTTTAGGAAGATTTCCCGGCGTAGCATGTGCGCTGTAGACATCGCAAATAGCACAGCAGACACACAGGTGTGTTGCGCCCTATTGTGATTGCATTGAGTCATTCAAATCTTCGTTATTGATGGTTCAATTCTCATTTATAGCTTTGAATAGAAACTGACATATGGTAGATTCGAAGTCCTGTTTTTTTGTGATGCATACCAGGCTGATAGCATGGCGGTGCAATCCGTGAGGGGCAGAAGACTTTCTTGAAGTATATATAGACAGCTTCAATCAAGGTCACCCTCCTGCAACTCCAGAACTGGACCGCATCAATCGGTTCGATACCCATGTCACTATGGCCAGTTGGGGCCTTGTTGATAAGGCAGCTTGTTCACACTACTTCAGGCAGACTGAAGTTTGTTCGTTTTACACCGTTGTTAGAGCACATGTGGATCACTAGCGGGTCGAAATATGAAGCCCATTTTGCGTGGGAGGAGTGGGACGGTCAATGATCATACCGTTTTAAATTGAATCTATTTCAAGAGCTTTCATGCGTGATTAATTGACCGCCCCGACCTGCTTACTTCACACTTGGTAGGATTGTAGGGAGCAAGGGTTGCGATGTGACACAGGTCAAGAAGAACAACTTTTGTCTGGGTAGTGCGTCATACATGAAGCTTTGCATTTTGTTTGAATTTTTGTGTATTTTTTGAGGGCATAAGAATCCCCGAAACTACATAACGACAGCCCCAAGAAAACATGTTGCTGGAAATGCGCGCCGCACCGGGTGCTTCGTCTGCATCGTGGGCGGGTGCTGGGCTAACAACAACAACAACAACGACAACAACGCCCCCGTGCCCTTTTTCCCTGCCCCCTCCCCTTTGCTTGGGCCCCTGGCCGGCTGTCGGGCGTAAGCCCTTAAATCTGGCCAGGGGCCCTGGCCGTGTCATTGCCGTAGGCAGTCTCTCCTCTCCGAAGGAGAGAGGGGAGCCAGAAATACTGTGTTTTACTGTGTTTTCTGCTTCTTCCATTTTTCCGGCTTTGTGGCTCAAGCTGGGTCAACATTGCCCAACGTAGGCCCAAATAATGCTGGAAATGCGTGCCGCACCGGG